AGTAGTAAGGCCAGGAGCCCCTAGTAGCGTCCTTGCTCCTAGTAGTAAGGCCAGTAGTCCCTAGTAGCGTCTTTGCTCCTAGTAGTAAGGCCAGGAGCCCTTAGTAGCGTCTTTGCTCCTGGTAGTAAGGCCAGGAGCCCCTAGTAGCGTCCTTGTTCCCAGTAGTAAGGCCAGGAGCCCCTAGTAGCGTCCTTGTTCCTAGTAGTAAGGCCAGAGGCATTGGGCTCGAGCCTGCACGGGGCGTGCCTGCAACCTTGTCGTAAGACAGGGTTCGGATCGAGCCATGGCATCCATGCATGTGGACTTTCTCCGATATACTTTTCGAAGTTTATCCAGCTGGAAGGCCGCATTTCGCTGCCAGATCACTGCCTCAAAGACGCTTTTGAGAACTCGCGACTATTCCCTTGTTGAGGTCCTCACCACACAGGGCACAAAGCGTATTTTGAAGGTGAGTCTGGAAGTGCTGCCACACCTGTCTACAAGTCGTCCATGTGTTATGTACATTTGGCGCAAGTATGGGTGTTGGCATGCAGGTGTGAAGATGCTACCTGCTGATGAAGCAAGTGCAGATGAGTTCATCATGCAGGACCTCCCAGATGTTCCACCGGGAGTATCCGACCCTGGCTACAAGCCACAACTCGATGATTTTGAACCCTGTGCTATGGAATTTGAGAAGTTCGATAGGATGTCCGGCTATGGCCTGACCCAGTCAGATCCTTTCGATACAGAACCATGGGTAATGTCGGTCTCCTTTAAGTTTGACGCCAACAGCAAGATGATTCATCAGGAGTCTTCAGACAAAGTGGCTCATCACACAGTGTACCATCATGACACGGACAACCCGTACACAGGAGATCACGAGGATCTCGAACCATGGGCGCAGGGATATACCCACTGCACCAAGGCTGTTCGGTCCGTGCCGGTATGTGTACACCCATGTGACGACCCGCTTGAACCATGGGCGATGCATTACAACCAGGTTGATAGAATCTCTGGAGAACGACTTTCTCACCATGCCAAGAGCTCATTTTGGAGTAGTGCGACACTTTTTGCTGAATCTGCTCAACCGGAAGGTTTCGAGAAGACAGTCAGCTTCGCACGAGATGATTCAATACCTCCTCCAGGATGTTTTGCTTGGTTCAGGGTACCAAGTTTCCAACGATGGTGGAACAGACCTGAGTCATCGGACACATGTACATCCCACATGACAGATTCTGCTTGCAGGCTACAGAGCATTTTGCCTCCTCAATGTTTGCTATCTCCATCGACCCGGATTTTGAGGAAGCCAGTGGTGACATGGTACACAGGTGCTTGTTACCGCGACATGACGTGTCCTACAGTTGATGACCTAATACATCCGACTTCTACCTCTACAAGCATGCAGATATCATCCAGTACAAGGGAAAAGTCTATGAGTTGCTCATGCCGACCGATGCTGACATCTCTGTCACGACTTATCCGAAGTTTTACCCAAGTTTCTTCCAGTTGGCTACAGTCAGTGCAATCGAACACAGTAATGTCGAGTTCCCCTGGAATTCGGGACGCTTCGTGTCCTTTTATTGCAACCAGCACTGACATTGACCACTGCAGAGATCCAAATTGCTCCTGGACTTCTTCAGGGCTTTTGTCACATATTCCAACAGGTATTGGCCAGTCCGAAAATGTTGTTTCGACACACCGTCTTATACCTCATTCCTCGTGCCAGACAGAAGCAGGTGCTCGTCAAGGAGATTATGTTGAAGATTTTGTTGTACACAATATTCAACGGCTACAGCAGACCACTATATCCACAGAGGCTGTACCCGATCCAACCGCTTCGACCCAAGCACTAAAGCATTTGACAATATCTCGCGGGGCTGTACCCGGCTACAACCTCATATTTTTGGACGAGGGGGCTTCACTGATGCCAGAATTTGAGCAGTTCCTTTACAGTCAAGATGACAAAAGACGTTTATGCATCACTCAGTCTGATCATGGAGAGTTATATGTGTTAACTCCAGACATGTCCAGAAGAGATGAACAGCATTCAGATGATACAGACTTTGATCAAGTGGCGATTCAATGCTTCACAGATGACTTCCGCTTCTACCTCAACGCTTTGAGTTCCATTGGACCTCACGATGG